CTAAGTCAGGCAGCATGTAGGTGAGCCAGCGTAGCTCATGTGGAGCCATGGCCCCCACATAGATCTCAGCCTCACAGCTGGAGCCGAGAACAGAAGACGAGCGGGTAGACCGCCACGAAACAGAGCCGGAGCCAAGGCTGAAGGTGTAGCCCTGTGACGACCGCTGCGTAGCCTGATCGTCAGCCCAAGAAGTGTCTGCGTGACCTGTGAGGACCACTCGACGTCGCCCTCCAAGTAGTAGCCCCATGCCCGACGTACTGCACACGTAGCGCAACACCCTCTTCGCTGCAGCCATGTACTCTGGTCAGTGTCTCCCACGAGCAACATAGCGTGCCAAGATGCTAAGAGGGTATGCAAGGTCAGGTCGTGTGCAGGTCATCAGGTACATGAGGCAACCAACAAGCCCTGGGTACAGACCGTTCGGCTCAACGGACTCATCCGAAGGCAGAGCTGAGAGCGAGTGGCGAGCAGACAGAGGAGTGGCCTGAGGCGAGGAGTATGTGAAGTCGAAGCGCTGAAGGACCTGCTGCACCATGTGTGACTGAGTCAGGGTAATGGTGCGCTGTGCTCTGTCTCAGGTGATCTACAAGCCAAGGTAGCTGCGCAGTTCACCCAGGTCTGTGCACGTGTGTCTCTTTTGCAGCTCGGACTTTACGTGGGCGAGTCCAGCAGTGTCAGCAGTGGCAAAGACCAAGTCGTCGACGTACACGAGGATGTAGAACGGTCGCAAAGAGGTGTCGGTGCGCAGAAATAGCGACGGGTCGGCTGTAGAAAGAGCAAACCCAAGAGCCGCAAGTGTAGTCCTATGTGTGTCGTGCCACTCACGGGGCGCCTGGCGGAGACCGTAGACTGGCCGCCGGAGGCTCCACTGGGTACTAGGAGGAAACGACCCAGTGAAGCCAGGTGGGCGGCGCAGCCAGATCTCCTCGTGCAGGCTGCCCTACAGAAAAGCAGTGCTGAAGTCAAGAGAGTGAAGCTCGTAGTCACGCTGAGCGGCTATGTGCAGCAGCACCCGAAGAGTGGTCATCTTTGGGGTGGGAGAGAAGGTCTGAAAGTAGTCAACTCCCTGCCGCTGACAGAAGCCTCGAGCCACGTAACACGCCTTGAAGACAGGCGGAGAACCCGGCAGCCGCTTCACCCTGAAAATCCACATGCCACTGACGATGTTCGCCCCAGGTGGGGGAACCTCATCGACGTAGGTGCTTGTGGACTTCCAGGAAGCCATCTCTGCGTCCATGGCTCACTGCCACTGAGAGGACTAGGGACCCTCGATCGCCTCAGCGTACGATCGAGGAGTCGGGATGTCTGGTGCATCCGGGTCTCCCTCAGGGGCAATCACCGTGGACACGAGATGAGGCAAAGCAGCAGCAAAACACCGGAACTCCTCCTGCCTGTCCTCAAGGACGTCCGTGCTAAGAGCACACTCACCCCTGATGGACGGAGGACAGACAGACTTAGACTCAGCAACAAGACTAGCTGCGTATTCTAGACGACAGCGAGCTGCAAAGTCGACAAGCTCAACAACCAAGGCAGATGCAGCAGTGGACTCAAAGGAAGGGTGAGTGACAATTGTAGCCAGGAGACGTGTGACAGTAGGACTTGCAGCACGAAGAGAGTCAGACTCCGGGTCAGCAAGAATAGGAAGAGAGGACTCTGGAGGAGACGGCAACGGGACACGAAGAGGACCAGTGGAAGGACGCAGTGCCATCTGGTGAGTACTTGGGACCGTAGGAGGACGCGGACGCATAGCACGACCACTAGTGTGAGCAACAGGAACAGGCGACGCAAGACGAGACGTAGGCTTACGACGCTCAGTAAGACCTCCAGTAGGACCAGTCTAGGGAGAAGGAGCAGGTAGGGGGGATGCGGGCTGTAACTGTGATTGCGACTGGACAGGCTGTGGACACTCTAAGGGAGGAGCAGGACCAGTAGAGGGCGGGAGACCAAGAACGTGCTCAAGGAGCGGAACGAAGTACGGCCGCGGCCGTGCAGCGCCATTAGACCCAGCAGGGACAGCACAAGTACTCCCAGCGGCAGCACCAGCGCCAGTAGCACCTCCAGCTCCAACAGCGCCAACTCCAGCACCCTGAGACGCACTAGCCCCAGCAGAACCACCAGCGTCAACACCCCCAGCAGCTCCAGCTCCAGCAGATCCAGCAGCACCAACCCCAGTAGGACTGGTAGCTCGAGTACCGCCAGCAGCTCCAGTAGTACCTCCAGCAGGACCAACTCCAGCAGCCCCTGCAGCACCCCCAGTCCCAGCAGCTCCAGTACCGCCAGTACGAGTACCAACGGTACCAGCAACAACAGTAGTACCTCCAGCTCCAGCAGCACGGCTCGAGCGCCGGGCAAACGACTCGCGCTTCTCCTGCGGAGAGAGTGGCTCCCGCCTCGACGAAGCACCGCCAGAGGCCACACGAGCAGACCCAGCACCCCCAGGCTCCGCACCCCCAAGCTCAGCACCCCTAGGCTCAACACCCTGAGACTCAGCACCTCCAGGCTCAGCACCCCTAGACTCACCACCCCTAGGCTCCGCACCCACAGGCTCAGCACCTCCAGACACGGCACCCGCGGGCTCAGTACCTCCTGCAGCAGCACCAGAGTCAACAGCCACCTCGACAGGCTAGATTGCGTCTACCTGGGACACACCTGACGGGGCAGGACCCTGAGGGGGGAGGGGGTCTACCGGGCGAGGACCTGGCGCAAGGAAGAGCGGCGGCGGGGGGAGGGGCGCAGTGCAGTAGGGGAAGAGACGGTAGTGAGGCACCGACTCGTCGAAGGTGACGTCCTGGGAGGACAGAACACGGCGCAAGGTGGGGTGGTAAAACTGCCAACCAGGCGCGTCAGGGGGGAAGCCAAGGAAGACGGAGGGAACAGCACGGGGGGACAGCTTGTCCGCAGACAAGTCGCGGACAAACGCCCGAGATCCCCAGAGACGTAACGCAGACGCATCGCCAACCTTCCCCGTCCACCGCAAGGTGGGGGAGGTCTCTGGTAAGGAGACCCGGGGCTGAAGGTTGAGCTGATGCACTGCGTACTGAACCGCAAACGGCGACTGAAAATGGGGGGCACCCGCATGGATCATGGACGTACGAGCGACGTCCATGACCATGCCAATGCGGCGCTCAGCAATCCCATTTTGCTGTAGAGAGGCCGGAAGCGTGCACGGTCTGGCAGATGCCCTGTTCTCGACAGAAGGCTCCCAGATGGGCAGAGGAAAACTCTCCGCCTCTGTCAGAGTGCACACGCAGAACAGGAAAGTCCGAGCCGAAACTCTCTCTGAGCTGGAGACGCGCGGATCTAGTCGATCAACACCTCAGTGACGTCACCCTTGGTGCGCAAGGGGAAGACTGTGGTCTAACGCGAGTAGTCGTCAACCACCAACACGAAGTAACGTCGTGACCTTTTCCAAGGACCCGGGCGGGGCCCCACACGTCCATGTGAAGAGTCTGCAGCGGAGCCGCTGTCGGAGGAAACTCGGAGGAGTGAGGGGCGACGCGCTGTTGCCCCTCGACGCACGGGACGCAGGAAGGGGCAGGCCTTGGAGGTAGGGGAGGGAGAGACCGGGGGAGATCAGAGACAAGGACACGGGAGGCCATGCCTCGGAGACGAGGCAGGGATCGTGTGCGAGAACGTCTCTGTTTTCTTTACCTGAGGCAAAGTCGATTGGTTAGAATCCAAACTCCTCCCCCCTCCCCACGCTGCATCTTGCTTTTAGCACGCCCTTTCATTCCACCTCTATCCACTTCGAGCTGTTCTTCTTTCTCGTCAACCAACACCTAGTCGAGCATGGCGTAGCTTCACCAGCGCAACGTAGGCGTTTTTTTTTTCTTCCTCTTCTTCCTGTTCTTCCTACATGGCGCGATGCTTGTTGAAGCTTTCTTCGGCAAAGCCTGTGAAAGTTTAGAGCAGCTAGAGCATAATATTTTGACACACCCCCATAGCCGAAGTGGGGTGTAATCAGCAGAGCAAGCAAAGCAGTACAAGCTCAAGGTGGATCCCAATGTCACCACACTATCTGAGCACAAGTTCAAGAAGCAATAGTTTAAGTTCACAATTATGAGCAAAGCTAGTGGCTATCGTAGAGGGCATGTGTGGAGGAGGAGGGACTATGGGGGAGAGAAGATGGGTTGACACTGAAGTCCATTTCTTGCTACCCCATTCTTCGAACCCTGGTCTTCTTGCCATGAGATTATGGTATCACTCTCCCATTGCGTGATCATCTCAACGTGAGCCTCCACTTCCCTCTCCCCCTTGCCCTCCTCCTTCCCCCCTCCCTGACTTCACAACCCTAAGCAATTGTATGATGCTCATGAGTATAGATCAATACCAGTATGCCCTGCTCTGCTGTTCAACCAAGTCCATATTGCCGGGAGATTATCCTCCCAGCTATCTCTCAAAACCCGCTCCTAATAACACTTCTTTCGCCAGGTTTCATTCCTCCCAAAAGGCTCTTCCTCTACCGCATTTCATATGACATTGGAAATGAAAGGGCTGTGAAAGGGTCGAACCCTTTCTTCCCCACATGTAACAGCTGACGAGGCATCCAACAAAGTAGAAAATGTCCGGACGCGCAGAATAGAGGGACAATGTGATGTTTTGCGGGTTAGCTATCTGGGATGGAAAAAGAGTTGCTATATCGTAGTGTAGAACTTCACTTGCCTCACATTTGTTGATGCCATTTCGGTATCCCATACTGATTGTGAATGATGCTATTCTACAATGTAGCAAGTATAATGCATGCAATATCTACGAACTTCAGAAAACATGATGAGCACAAAATAAGTGCCTATGGACAAGCCAAAAATACAGTTGTTGCTTTCTGTGAACCTAGCAGAATTTTGTTGTTCCGTCAATCTGCTCACAAAGATCTTACAACTACCCCTTCTGAAATATCTATCAACAGACCTTATTTCCCCATGTATGTTTTCGTATGACACAAACCATTGGTACTGGAAGCTCTAGGTAAACCAGTAAGGTGCATGTGAAAACAGACTTGATTACGAGGAAGAACCACTTGGCATGCCCCCCTCACGCTCCGCACGGGCCATTTCTGCAGTGAAGCTGGAGGAGCCACCGAAACTCCCAAGCTCCATGTCGATGCGAGATTTTGCCTCGCCCACATGGCTCTCATGTGCTCCGGACGCCTCCTGCTTCAACTTCACCAGCTCCCCCAGCACTTGACTCATGGAGGGGCGAGAGGCCACAGGCATGGCGGTGCAGGAGAGGGCAAGGCGAGCCCAGCGCAGCACCAAGTCATCTGGTGCGTCCAAGTGGGGGTCCTTGAAGACTGCCACAGCATCTGACTCCACGAATGGGGCGATCTGTACAAATGAAAGGGAACACATGCACGCGGACATATGGCTGATGGTTCATTGCACTTCATGCCAATGAGTAGAGGAATGGGCATTGGTCGTGCAATTATTGCACGAAGCATTCAGGCAGTATGTACCAAGCAACTGTGCCTCACCCATTGCTTCAGGCTGATCTGGCTGGTCTCGCTCACATGCACGGCCTTGCGTGCTGAGATGACCACCAACATCACCACACCATAGCTGTCAACACCAAACCACCAAAAGGGACAGGGACCAGAATGGAGATAAATGTGAGGCATGCTGACAATTTTTTTTTATGCCCTACCTGCATCACAAACGGAGAACGAAAAATACATCTCCACATATACTGCTGGAGTGGCCTTGTGACTTGTAGATAGCAAAACTGACATAGTTCGGTGTTCCCAACACTTAAGTGGCAGCAGTAGATGGTTTCCTAGACAACTCAAAAGAGCCGTCTTTGCCCTCTCACCTGTACATGTCTGCTGCTGGAGTGGCCTTGTGGGACTTGTAGTAGGCAGGGTCCACATAGCCTGGTGTTCCCATCACTCGAGTGGCAGCTACAGAAGTTCCCATAGCGGTGCCTCCAGTGAGTTTCACCAGCCCAAAGTCTGCGATCTTGGCCTGAACAATAGTCACATGTGCATGTAGTAAGAATTCAGATGTTGGGCGGCACCAATTGTTTTCGATCAGTCAAAGCATGCAAAGAACAGAAATTCTATGTAGGTCAAAGAGAATGCATGCAGAAAATGGCGCTATACATACTTGCATTTTTGCATCAAGAAGAATGTTGGCTGGCTTGATGTCGCGGTGCACAATGCCAAAATCATGAAGATAATGCAACCCCTTGGCAACCCCAATCAGAATGTCAAGTCGTTGCAAGAATGAAAGGGGGCTTGGAGCACCTGGAAACCGAAAGAGTGAAAACCAATTTTCCATGCCAATTTTTGCCAATTTTACCAAGGGGGCTTGCCAATTTTTGCCTTTTTTTTTTTTTTTTTTTGAGTTGATGATTAAGCCTAAAAATGGTTACAGTAGTGTTAAAATCTGAAAATGCTGACATGTAATCAGAATTCGCGAATGACGAAATGAATGGTTGTGGTGAAAAGTGCGAACTCTGAAACCTAATTCGAAGGTGCAGCTTCCAGGTGAAAGGGAGTCTGCTGGTGCAAAAAAAAAAAGGTGTCAGGTGTAGAGAGAAGCTTATGTACCTGGTCCAATCCAGCTCTCGAGGTCCCGATTGACCATGAACTCGTACACAAGTACTTGCTCCACGAGACTCGTAGCCGGGTCAAAGTTCACACAGAATCCCAACAGGCGCACCAAGTTGGGGTGGTGCTTGCTAGCCATCTCCTTCACCTGCAAGGTGAGAGTAGGAAAACAATCACTCGGGAGAGAAGAAGCGTGAACATATGTGAATGTGCATGTGTGTGTGTTTGTGTATATGTGTGTATATCTGTCCATGCATGTTTGTGTGTGAGTGTGCGCGCCCGCGTGCGTGCACACACACATCTGAATATAAAGGTCATTCAATAACAGCATGACGATATAATTCATGGTGTGAAACCAGAAGCATCATTAGCACCGTCTGGTACCTCAGTCAGAAAGTCATTGGAGAGGACCCTAGATCGCTTCACAGCCCACATCTCATTGGGGTCATTCAGTGACACGCCCTTGTACACATCTCCAAAGCTGCCGCTACCAATCCTGTTCCCCTCTGCCCAATCTCCCGTTGCGCTTGCGAGCTCTTCCAGAGTGAACTTCTGGCACACATGTGGCTTCACTGCCTCCATCTCCACCACCACGTCTCTCTGCTTCTCCCGTGCTGCTGCTCCTGCCGCCACAGCCGCTGCTGCTGCCGCTGCTGCAGCTGCTGCTTCTGGGTCGCTCTCTTTTGCATTGGATGCTGCCTTTGGAAAATCGTGTTCCGAGCCTGTGGTTGTGAAGGAGGAGATAAGATTAAGACGAGGAGTCAAGAGTGGATGGTAAGTGCAGAGGGAGGCTGGGAATGATGATGGCTTTTGAACATCATGCGTTGGAGATATCTTACCTTGGTGCGCACTCTCTTTATCCGAACCCTTGCCATTCACATCCTTGCCGGTATCGCGTCCTGCTGCTGCCCCGTTGGTGCAGCATCGCTTCCACAGCAGCCAGCTGAGCAGCAGCAGCACGGGGACAGCCACAGCACCAGCAACTGCGATGCCAGCAGTGGCTCCATTGGATAAACCGCCTCCAGACTGGGAGGAAGAGGCTGTAGGCTCGCTGGGAGTTGACGTGGGAGGAGGTGGGGAAGGGTTTGGCACTGGCGATGGGGAGGGTGTTGGCACTGGTGATGGGGAGGGTTTTGGCACTGGTGATGGGGAGGGTGTTGGCACCGGTGGTGGGGAGGGTTTTGGCACTGGTGATGGGGAGAGTGTTGGCACTGGTGATGGGGAGGGTGTTGGCACTGGCGATGGGGAGGGTGTTGGCACTGGTGATGGGGAGGGTTTTGGCACTGGCGATGGGGAGGGTGTTGGCACTGGCGATGGGGAGGGTGTTGGCACTGGCGGTAGGGAGGGTTTTGGCACTGGTGATGGGGAGGGTGTTGGCACAGGCGATGGGGAGGGTGTTGGCACTGGCGATGGGGAGGGTTTTGGCACTGGCAATGGGGAGGGTGTTGGCACTGGCGATGGGGAGGGTTTTGGCACTGGCGATGGGGAGGGTGTCGGCACTGGCGATGGGGAAGGTGTTGGCACTGGCGATGGGGAGGTGTAAGGGGATGTAAGAAAAGGTACAGTTTGCACAGGGAGAGAAAGTGAAGGAAGGCATCGAAATGCTGGAGCAGATAATCTTCAGTACCCATCAGAAGGCATACATCCGAAGCACAACATGTATGGGATTCCGTGTGAGAAGTGGCCAAGTTGTGAATGCCTGACATTGGAGAAAACTTGTTATATAAAATGCAAAACAGTGTTTATGCACTCATCAATAACAAGAGCAATGCAGAAAAGGCAGTAGAAGTTGGAGCTACATTCATAAGGAGATTGCTTATCACCTGGTGGTGTCTTGTCACACGTGGAGCAGAAGGAACCACACTGCTTGCAGAAAGCACTTGAAGTGGTCTGTGGGACCACGCAGCTGTTGTAGTCAGGAGGGCATGTGATTGCAGTCCAAGAAAAGTCCCTGTGTACACACGGAGTGTTATCAAGCTATGAGAGTACTCGCAAAGCATACATTGGTCTGTTTTGCCTGACATTGAGCAGCCCGGTTCAATAGATGGCAGCAAGGTAGAAAAAAACGATTGTCGAAAAATACGATTGTTTTTTTCGATGGTATTTTACGGTACCTTTTGGGAAAAAAACGTCGTTTTTCTGTTAGACAAAAAGAACTCTTCAACTTCAAAGATGCTGTTCTGATCACAAAAGCACTTCTAACAATCTTCTGCTGCATCATCAGCACTTCTAACGGCCCCCTTGTTCTTCTCACCAATCAATCCCCTTGTTTCAGCAGCAGTTTTGGTATTTTTACTGAAAAAAACGAAGGTTTTTTTGCACCAAAAGTATTTATTTTCAAAATCTGTTTTTATCGTTTTTTTACGATCGTTTCTTACGATACGGTATTTTACGATCAAAAATTGAAAAAAAACGTCGTTTTTTTGCACCTTGGATGGCAGGCATATCAGGATTCGGCCAATCCAGCCCAAGTCGTGACCTTGGTACGTTGAATGGTTGAATATATCTTACCTGTGGGTGCAATGTACCAGTGGAACACCTCACCAGTGGAACACCTACCTAGGTACCTTGTACACCACTTTGTGAGATGCTTCAAAGCTAGAAAGGTAGAAAATGCATTTTCATATGCGAAGATGCCTTACAAGTAATCAAGAAGAGTGAGATTGGCAACTGTTGGAGGGAGCTGGCCAGTGAGGCTGTTCCAGCTGACATTGCTGTACATAAAATAACAGATAATAAACGGTTTAGCCCCAGCTAGGGCATTGCCATCATGATTCCCGATGGTGCATGCATGCACCAGGTTTCACATGTACTAAGATGAAGACACAAAACATTGAACCAAAAGATTATAAAACGTAGAAGAACATTGGAGAGCGAGATAGAAAAAACACATGGCCTCCTTGGTCAGTGGCCTGGCTCAACCCAGCGGCCTGGCCCTGTGCTCATGCTTAGGGTATAGGGCCCACCATTGCAGGTCCTCTGGTTTCCGAACCTGTGCGATTAGATGCTGGCTCTCTGTCTTATTCCCATGATGATACTCACAGCCAAACTAGGTTGGTCAGGCTACCGATGGTGGATGGAATAGACCCACTCAAAGAGTTTTTGTAAAGATACCTGATAGTACAACATGCAAAGGGTGTAATGAATGAAACAAAGTACTGAATACAGGAAGAGAACCTTAGTAATATTCATGGACACATTATTAGGGCTGCATATGTGGATAGTAACGGATACGGTGAAACCATTGGTACCAAACACATACAAAGGGTGTCCTGATACAAAAGAAAAAGAAGAAGGAAATATATGGTAGTAGAGGGACGTGTGATATCATGTAACGAGAATGACTGAAGAGAACATGACATGCAACCTATTGTGATACAAGCTACCAAGTCGAACATGTGCCTGATTGTGAGCACAAACACAAACATGTGCCTGATTGTGAGCACAAACACAAACATGTGCCTGATTGTGAGCACAAACACAAACAAGCTACTACACTTTAACGCTGACATGATAGCACAATGCTGCAAGTAACAGCCATTACACAAAATCAAAGCGATAAAAAAAAAAAAACAGGCGCTTTTTTTAGTGTTTCACGAGCATGCAAACATGTACACATGCAGAAGCAAAAGTTAAGGTCACAGAGTGCACAATGTAAGTGGTGGTGGATGGAAATACATGTAAACAAGATGAGATAGCAATGCCAGCAGAGTGTCTAGCATGGGGTAGTCCAGACTAAAATGTCTTTGTTTCACCTGAAAAAAAGTTTTATTACGAGAAGGAAAGTTGTAAGCCAGCAGCTTTGAAAAGAAGAGTTTCAATTTGATGAAAAGGAGAGCTCGGGGCTTGCCTAGTCTTTACGAATTAATTTGGGGTTGATAGAACTAGTGACAGCTAAGTCTCATGGCCCTGGCATGATATTAGAGAACCTCACTTACTTCTCCTGCCCATGGATGGAAGTTTCTGAATCTTCTTTGCCCGTGTATTTTATCTCTTGAACATTGCAAGACCTTGTCATGAGGCTAATACGGGGAGATCGATGGCAGACCCTGGCACCGAGACGCCTGGCTCAGCCCATCGGCCCGGCCCCTTGCTCATGTCTAGCGTATATGGTCATTCCTAAATCAAGTTGACCTGCTCAAGCCCTCTTCTAAATCTTGACGAGGTCGTATAGGCTCTGTTTCATATTTCTTGATGATACCAACAATCTAACAAGGTCGCGCATGCTTCCGATGGTGGATGGAATAGACCCACTCAGATTGTTGTTGTCAAGAAACCTGATGGTACAACATGCAAAAGGGTAGGGCGTTATGGGTGGAAAGAAACACCGGATACAACAAGATAATTTTACTGTTATTCCTGCACACATAATCAGAGCTGTATGTGGATAGTGACCGAGATGGTGAAACCGTTGATATCAAGCACATGCAAAGGGTGCCATGAAATTGATACATCCTTAGAAATGAATGAACCAAATGGAAGGATAGAAGCGTAAATGACTGAACAAATGATGTCATCCTGAAATCTGACCGTGATACAAGCTGCTAAACTTACCATTGACTTTATAACAAATTGTTGCAAGAAACAGCCATTTCAAGAATTGAAAGCAAATAAAGAAGACAACAGGAGCTATTACGAGCCTTACACAAACATGCAAATACGTACACATTTAGAAGCAACGGGAGAGGATACAGAGTGTAGTGCATGTAACTTCAGAATCACTTAGTTCCTACTGCTGATGGTTCTACAATTACTGAAACAACTCTTCTCGGGGTCACCTCCGAGGGTCCTTGGGTGCCTGACTAGAGTCAGCCCCTATCCAAGGGTCCGAGTTTGTTGAAAGAGCAATTCAGTAGACTAGAGTTTCAACAGTGGAAGCCCTTGTCACGGCGTGGGCAGAGAGTCCGTTGGACGTCAAATCTGATAGTAGCGTGTGAGATTAAATGTGTGGCAGAGTGTTTTATTAATATTCAGGCCATACATTTATATATTCTCTAGGCTGTTTCTACTGCTAGCTACCTAACATGGCTGAGAAATTCCTATCCTTAGCGAGGCGCGAGCAATTTTCGCGTTTCCCTCGTTTTATTTTTGTGACTCAGCTAGGTTGCGATTCGCCGGCGAATGTTTTAGCTGTTCGCGCGGAATTTATTAACGGCGTTGATCCGTTGTGATTTTCGCGCCGTTCTGATAACGGCTCCGATCGATCCGTTTTGTTTATTTGAGTCAGCTTTGCTGTTTTGAACATGCGTGCTGATTCGGGCCAATCCCCTTGCTTGAATTCTGGTGGCGTGAGCAGTTTCGCCACGTGCTTTGATCGCTCGAGCTGTGAGCACTTTCTTGGGCTGACGTGTTCCAGATGGCGAAAGTGTAGCTCTCGAAATGTCGGCGCGCATGTAGCTGCCCTCTGCTTCAGCCGCGTCAGCTTGTTCAAACCTGTTTCGAACTTGTTCGAACACTGTTCTGAACATGTTCGAACCTGTTCTGAACATGTTCGGAACTAGTTTTGGCTGCGTGCTCAGAACGACGAACTTTGCTGCCCGAGCATTTGTCCAATCAGCGCAGTCGAAACCTGTCGCTTTGAGCACCAACGAACTCGCAGCGCGAACGGTTATTCCGTGCTGTCCTTTGCTCGAACCGAACCGAACTGATGCCTCCCATTTGTCGAAGCTAAATCCCCTTGAACACTCGACTCGATCATGAACGATTCGCCCCTCTGCTTTTCGCCTCAAATGACTAGTGCACTCCGAGGAGATAAACTGGCTGATTGATATACAGAAAATTGATTCTGTATTAGCACACTCCTCCTCAATCTGTCGGTTTTCTCCCCGTCTCCCTTAGTTCATGCTCATACCGCTCATCCGCGCACACCTCCAGTGTGGTTCATCGGCTACTCGTTTGGTGAGAACATCTGCCGGCTGCTGCTGTGTCTTGATGTAGATCGGATTGACTATTCCACGGTTAACTTCCTTGCGCAGCCAGTGCCACTTCAGGTGCATGTGCTTGTTGAGGCCGTGACGGACAGCGTTGCGAGCCATTGCGATTGCCGACATGTTGTCGCGGTATAGTGGCGTGGGAATCGTCTGCTCCTGACTGATCTCTTCCAGTAGCCTTCTCAGCCATATGATTTCTTTCACGGCATGAAACATGGCCATGTACTCGGACTCGGCAGATGATAGAGCCGATTCACTCTGTTTCTTGGACCTCTAGCTCACCGGTCCTCCCCCTATCACGCAAATGCAGCCACCCACAGAGGACGAGTCTTCTTGCTCCGATGCCCAGGTTGCGTCGGAGAAACAAGTGAGGAAAAGTTTCTGTTCCGGTAGCCTCTCTCCCTTCTCCCTCAGCAGCTCCACCCCCTTCTGCTTCTGCTGTGCCGTTGCTGAGAATTGAGCTCCGACAAATGGGAATGAGTTCAAGTACTTCACGACTCTTTCGGCCGCGTCAACTTGTTCCTCAGTCGGGTTGGACACCACCTTGGCGAGTTGTCCGACAACAAAGGAGATATCCGGCCTTGTGTGTACAGCGGCGTACAGAAGGCTCCCCACAAGTGATTGGTAGCGTTGCTGCTCTCCCTCCTCAACTCCTTCTCCCTCCTCC